GAAACATTATTAAGTAAACCTGTCTATTTTATTATAACTACTGCTTGTTTGTAATTAATCACAAAGCTACATAATGGGCTACCTGGCTCTGCCTACCACGGGTATCGAAACCCGGATTCTAGCGTTGTAAGTCCGCAGACATACCGCTGTGCCACTGGGGGGGGGCATGATCTGTCCAACTTCCGTAATAGCCTTGACCTCCCCTCATCTTCCTTCACGACTGTAACTTACTTCCGCGACAGTTTAAATCTCCCCTTATCTGTCATCACGAAAGTAGCTTATTTCCGTGACAGTCTTGACCTCACCTCATCTGCCATCTCGAGAGTAGCTTACTTCCGTAATAGCCTTGACCTCCCCTCATCTGCCACCACGAGAGTAGCTTACTTCCGTAAAAGTCTTGACCTCCCCTTCTCTGCCACCACGAGACTTTTGTTCCTTGTTCTTTGTTTGTAATTAAGCACAAAGCTACACAATAGGCTATCTGGGCTCTGCCCACCACGGGTATCGAAAACCGGATTCTAGCGTTGTAAGTCCGCAGACATACCGCTGTGCCACTGGTGTGCTATAACTTCTGTGATCGAATTTATTCAATTTGGTCATCTTTTAAATATAGTACTTTAACTGTTAAATATTCACGTATTTATTTATTTTTTTACTCTTTATATGATATGATGAACTTCATATTAATTTTTTTTCTCTTTCTAAGCCTTCATGTATATGAAATGGCAATGGAAATTTTGCTTCCAATCGGTCGCTTACACTTGTTTTTGGTAACCATATTCACTCAATAGCAACGTAAATGTAGTCGTTATGCCATGAATGACTACCGCATGTCCAGATTGTGTTCATTCACCAAGCGTTAACCGAACCACAAAACTGTGAAATATCAACGTTAACTTTTCGTGGCGCTCGAGTGCTGTCGACTCATACACCAACCTCCGGTTTACGTATCGTAAGTGCAGAAAGGATCGTTCTGGCCGTGTCGGAGAACGTCAAATAAAGTTTGTCGCGACTCTTATATAGCTCAATTCCAGAAAAATCCAGTTATTTCGGAAACACAGGCACAGAAATCGGCGCCAGAATACAATAGCTTTATGTATTAAATATGTGAATAGTCTTCAGCTGGAGATTTACAAACGTAAAGAAAACAAACTTTGTTCCCATACGGAACTAATTAGTGGACTTCGTCTAGACTTTCCGTGATATAACGGAAAAAGTAATGAGTGTGAAAGAGTTAGTAAACTTTCGATGAAGTGATATATCAGAAAAAATAATGAGTGTGAAAGAGTTGGTCAACTTTCGATGAAGTGATATAACAGAAAAAGTAATGAGTGTGAAAGAGTTAGTAAACTTTCGATGAAGTGATATATCAGAAAAATAATGAGTGTGAAAGAGTTGGTCAACTTTCGATGAAGTAATATAACGGAATAACTAATGAGTGTGAAAGAGTTGGTAAACTTTCGATGAAGTGATATAACAGAATAACAGAGTGTGAAAGAGTTAGTAAACTTTCGATGAAGTGATATAACGGAATAACGAGTGTGAAAGAGTTAGTAAACTTTCGATGAAGTGATATAACAGAATAACTGATGAGTGTGAAAGAGTTGGTAAACTTTCGATGAAGTGATATAACGGAATAACGAGTGTGAAAGAGTTAGTAAACTTTCGATAAAGTGATACTGTTCTCTTGCCAAAACTACAGCTATGAGCTTCACGGGAGTGTAGTAAAGATCTAAAGGTTACTATAGGGTCTATTCCAAATTAATTCCTTCATAAACCATTTAGTTTGAGTAGATTGTTAGAGGACATAATGGTTATTGAGTATAGGAACATAATTTTATGTTTCTAATCGTGGATCAAAATATTTGAGTTTTTTTTTTAATAGATGAATACGAAATATTTGACGTATTTATGGTTTCAAGCATAAAAGACACTATTCTTGGCTATGTCAGTTATTTGATTAAACAAAATAACCGCTCTATGATGCTAAAGCTGCTTACTTTTTTTTTTTACATATTGTCAAGTTGTCAAGAAGTGAGTTCGCATAATCCATAGTACATGCTATTTTTGTGATTGGATTTTGGGAAAGTTTGCTTATACGCAAAGCTACAAGATGAGCTATTTACACTGTGCCCACTTTGGGTATCGAACCCTGATTTTTAGTGTTATAAGTTCCTCAAGTTAGCCCCCCCGGTGGCACAGCGGTATGTCTGCGGACTTACAACGCTAGAATCCGGGTTTCGATACCCGTGGTGGGCAGAGCCCAGATAGCCCATTGTGTAGATTTGTGCTTAATTACAAACAAACAAATAAACCCTCAAGTTACACCGCCAGGAGGCATTTTGAAGGTGAAATGTACTTGTATATATGAAAACATAACTTTTCAAGCCATTTCGATACTCTGGGACTTGTATATTAATTAGAATAATATGGAAAATCTAGCATGCTTTCCAGAAAATATTTTTTACGTGACCAAAAGACAAAGTGAATAAATTTCTGAAAACGGTACCTCGTACAAAAAAAAAAACATTAACAATTAAAATCCAGGTAGAACAGCTAAAAATAATAATATATATTTTTTTTTCTAATTAACATTTTTCTATAATTAAATTTACTGATGATCCAGAAGGTCTCGCCATAAGAGGATATGGTGAAGAGACTGGATAGGGTACACACTATACATTTATTTTACGACAGCTTACTTGATACATATCCATACGCCTTTGTACTCCGAAAAATACTTGATGCTATTCAGCTTTCCACCTATGTTTATCAGCCGGGATTTCTGCACCTCTGGTTAGGGTTAATTGCTGTATAAACTGTTCTAACTCTTGTTAGGTAACAAAACTCACTCCATGGCCGGTTCAGAACTACAGTGTCAGATCGTATTAGCCATCTGATGACATTTTCTGTCGTCGATACAACTGAGTTGTTAAGGGGTGTCACATTGCTCGAACCTGGGGTTTTTAACTGGTGATTTACGAGTTAATGGGGACAGATGTATGATCATGTTACGGGCTTTGTCGGTATGTATAGGGATGGATGGACGAATCCTGCCAAACCTTCGCTGCATTCTACCTCAAACCAATATTAGGTCTAGCGTGGCCTAGAGATTACCGTGTTCGGACTCTGAATCCCAGGATTCACTATTCGCGGTCCGTTGGAGCAAAAACGTGCTCTGTACTTTGGGGTCATGAGGGTGCTACAAGAATGACGGTCAAATACCATTATTTATGTCCATCAGTACTACTTCAACGGTAAGTATGCAGGCTTATAACGCTAAAAATCAGGTTTCGATACTCGTGGCGGGCAGAGTACAGAGAGCTCACTGTGTACCTCTGTGTTTAAGAGCAACCAAACGTAGGGTTATCATTTCAAAATTAGTGACGGCTATGCGCAGATAACTCCTCTATAGCTTTGTGCAAAACTTTTAGAAAAAAATCTAATCAAGAACAATTGTATATATATATTTTTTGTAAACGCATGATCTTTAAAACAATCTATAAATCTATGAATCTATAAATTCATTATACAATTATCGTAGTTTGGACCTGTTTGGTTTGGTTTGAATTTTGCGCAAAGCTTAATGAGGGCTATCTGCGCTAGCCGTCCATAATTTAGCAATGGAAGGCTAGAGGGAAGGCAGCTAGTCATCACCACCCATCGCCAATTCATGGGCTACCTTTTTACTAACGAATAGTGGGATGGACCGTCACGTTATAACGCACCTACGGCTGAAATGACGAGCATGTTTGGTGGGACGGGGATTCGAACCCGCGACCCTCACATTGCGAATCAAGCGCCCTACCCCTCTGGCCATGCCCGGGCGAAAGGTAATAATACCGAAAACTTGCAATTTTATGTGGTTTGATAGCAGTACCCTGTAATAAATATTCTACAGAAAGGAGCGAGGTCTTTTATTATTAGACAGCATCCATGTTGTTCTGTACATTTTATCTGTATGAGAACATATTTCTGATGAAGGCTATGCGTCACAGTAGCCTTGACTTTGCGCAGTGCTTTGTCTTATGCTCGATTCTATTAAGATAAGCAAATGTTCGTAAGCGAACTGATTAAAGTTTTATTGTATTTCTTTTCTGAGAGTTCTAACCACGTACAGGGTTTGTTTTGAATTTCGCGCAAAGCTACACGAGGGCTATCTGCGCTAGCCGTCCCTAATTTAGCAGTGTAAGACTAGAGGGAAGGCAGCTAGTCATCACCACCCACCGCCAACTCTTGGGCTACTCTTTTACCAACGAATAGTGGGATTGACCGTCACATTATGATGCCCCCACGGCTGAAAGGGCGAGCATGTTTTGTGTGACGGGGATTCGAACCCGCGACCCACAGATTGCGAGTCGAGTGCCCTAACCACCTGGCCATGCTGGGCCCCACGTACAGGGAAAAGTATTTTGAAATGTGTAGTGTATTTGATAACAGAGCATGCAGTTCAAAAACGTCTGCTCCTCCCTAGACTTATCGGACAGTCATCTCCTGATTATTTCATCGCTGATGAGTCAAAAAAAATAAAATTGGAATGTCAAACTTGAATTATGGAACTTAGTTTTCAAGCATGTTTCACTATCAGCTCCTACAGCTGCATGTTGTGCGTACAGTTCCTTTGTCTGGAAAGTATTTAACATGGATTGTTAATAATTATGAATTTCAACGTGATCTTTCTTTTTGTTTTCATTTAATATAAGTATTGTATTTATTTATATCTCACCTAGTTGCGATGACGTCACAACCCATGAACGAATCAGAATTGCAGTTATACAGAGTCCTACAGCGAGCTAACCTTTTGTCGTACTATGACACATTTATATGCCAAGGTAAGTGATGACCTTACTAATTTCAAGTATTAGGACTAGGACGTAATTTTACATCAAGTTATAGAGTAATTATCATAATGATTTAACGAATAGGCTTACCACTGCTCGTGCATAATGTTCTAATTAACTTAACGTACGAGTTTACTACGGCTTATCTTGCTATAGTGGACGTAGCGTATGTCAGTATCTATGTATGTAACCAAAACTGCTGCGCCATCTATTGAATGGCACCACAAACAAAAATCAATAAAACATTTCACACTATGGGTATTCAAGGTTCAGACAATTAGTAAAATAACTGTGGTGTATGTGCAACAACCATATCTTTATAATAGAACATAATTTCAATTAAAAGTATTCTACTCTCAACAAGAACACTAGGAATATGCGTGAGGGTTTGATTATATCTTTATTGTTGTAATTTTTAAATGTAGTACTGAAAAACCGGAGTTCTTAAAAGAATTATTACTTTTTCAATAAAGGGTAGCACTTCTAATATATAAAAACATTACAGTTTATATCAGTAAAATTTATAAAAAAATTTAGCTCTCTACATTGGATCATTTTGATGCAATGAGCTAGTTGCGTATGGCTGAACAGCACAATCCGAACACTTTTCCCATGCAGTACTTCCCAGAAAAACAACATATTTTAAAAGAAAATGTTCACTTTTTTCTAAATTTCTTTTCAATCAGGCTAGCTTATATAAATTATATGTCAAGGTACATGGTAATAATCTAACTAAGTCAACATAGAAGCTTACTAAATCTCTTTAGTAAAGCATCTCCGTACGTTTTCAACACATCGGGTTCAGCATGTTCGCTAAAACATGCACTTTTGTGTATTTTTGAACTATGTGACAATCAACTCCAATCCTGGCTTCGTGCAGCGAAAATTTGTTCACTTTTGTTTTGTAGTAATTGTCGTATAAACAAAAAACTGTGACAACTGCATGGCTCGATGCTAATCCAAAATATGTTGTGTGTAAACGACTGAACAAAAGCTCAAGCGACGTTTTATTAACCTCTTAATGAACGTTCAGTTGAAAAATTATCCCTCCGATGTAAAGTCTGTTTTTAATAAGAGCTCAAGATTGTCAAAGGAATAAGTTAGTCTCGTGGTGTGCCCCCAGTGGCACAGCGGTATGTCTGCGGACTTACATCGCTAGAATCCGGGTTTCGATACCCGTGGTGGACAGAGCACAGATAGCCTGTTGTGTAGCTTTGTGCTTAATTACAAACAAAGAACAAGGAACAAAAGTCTCGTAGTGGCAGAGAAGCGGTGGTCAAGACTTTCACGGAAGTAAGCTACTCTCGTGGTGGCAGATAAGGGGAGATTTAAACTGTCGCGGAAGTAAGTTACACTCGTGAAGGAAGATGAGGGGAGGTCAAGGCTATTACGGAAGTAAGCTAGCTTTCGTGATGACAGATAAGGGGAGATTTAAACTGTCGCGGAAGTAAGTTACACTCGTGAAGGAAGATGAGGGGAGGTCAAGGGTGACATCACCTGAAGAAGGGTCTGGGCCCTAAACGTTGTGTCAAATTAAAGTTTTCCTAGATTTTATTCCCGTTGTATCTAGTGTTTTTTCTTTCTTAAACTTTGTCTTACATCTTCTGTAAGGTTTTTTTAAATATATTTTTTGTTTTTGTATTCGTTGTAGATTTCGGTGTCAATTCTTTTGTATTTTTATACAAATTCTGTATTTAAAGAAGAACCGTTGCAATAAAGGTACTAATTTGACCACAAATGTTTTGGAGATCTGTGCTAATAATAACTTAATATCCAGTTCGCAAAGGCTACCAGTGTTTCAATAACTGCTTCTTTTGTATCGTAACTTAAGTGTAGAAGCCTAAGTATAGTAATGCTAATATTTTAATTATACGTTTTTACCTATTTTTATAAGCAGTGCCCTTATCTAGTGTCCTTATAACACTGTAATATGAGTGAAATCCTTACTTTTGTATCTGTATTAGTAGCAGGATATCTAATCCAAAACATAAACGTATATACACGATATCAGTTTTGATTTAACACCAGCTTTCAGAATCTGGCGAATCTAACAATATCAGAAAAGGTATATAGTGTCACTTTTAATTTAACACCAGCTTCCAGAATCTGGCGAATCTAACAATATCAGAAAAGGTATATAGTGTCACTTTTAATTTAACACCAGCTTCCAGAATCTGGTGAATCTAACAATATCAGACACTATATACCTTTTCACTTTTAATTTAACACCAGCTTCCAGAATCTGGTGAATCTAACAATATCAAAAAGGTATATAGTGTCACTTTTAATTTAACACCAGCTTCCAGAATCTGGTGAATCTAACAATAACAGAAAAGGTATATAGTGTCACTTTTAATTTAATATCAGCTTCCACAATCTGGTGAATCTATCAACACCAGATGACTCTGAAACACACTAAATTTTATTTCATCATAAAAATACAGTAGTATCCAAACTCCAATACGCCCTCTGTCCTTTTCACTAACAGACTCCAGGCGAGGTAGGTCATGATAGACAGCAGTATGTAACATATTTCCAGTGACGTATATTATATAATACAGAACATAACGTTTTTGTTCAAATGTTAACATTGGGTAGGTGTAAAAAGATTGTTAATCGACGGCCGAATAAATGAGGTGTGACTTTAAATTATTCCTGTTTAATCGTAATTCCCAATGACGTCATGTAATAAGTAAATGCTGCTTCAGGTTCACCTTGCAGCGCCACCTGTAATGTGTTCCGTGTAAGTTATTTTTATACACCTTCATCCAATGGTAAAGCTTTAAATTATATGCTCCTCCCACCACCCATACGTTTTATTCCCAAACTTATTTTTTACGAATTGTTTACAATATGAGTCATGTTACCCCCGTATTTTAAACTTAACGGTATGTGTAATATTACACCACGTACAGTAATTATTCTCTTATTAGTGTGAGCGAAATTTTTAGCTAAAGCAAAAAGAAACTTATGCAAGTGCATTCTGAAAACATTTTAGCCAAACTACGATGTTCAAGTTAATTTAAAGTAAATTGGGAAATTACGCGTGAAAGTTATATTAATCGCTTAGTATATATATAGCGTTCCTTCGTAATTATGAACTGTGTATTGCTTATTAACTACGAGGAGAAAAATTGAGGTAGATTTTGAAAGAAAAAACAAACAAAAAATATATATATAATATTTACTTTAAACCCACTAATACATATTTTCAAGTTAACTGATTTGCAAGAAACCGTTTAAGGGATTACGTTTCTTTTGTGAAAAAACTATAACATCACATTCGTTAAAATAACAGCAACAACTCATTGTTTGTAACTTCTGAATTAAACAAGCTATAGATCAGAAAAAAATAAGATTAGTCTTAGCCAAGTAAATAACGCAGCTAATTTAATAAACTGGCATGACTAGGATTATGCAGTGTAAAAACCTCTTCGTTGTTATCGATATTTTCGGACATAATCCCAATAATTTTTCACAAAACTCGATCAGTTTAGGAGATTTAAGTTAGTCCTAAATCCACATATTAAGTTAACATCACTAAATAAACCTCATAATATACATACGTTGTATTTTAGTGTATTAAATGAATAATTTAAAATCCTAAAAATAAATCTATATTTATGTTAAACGTTTTAATAGATAATAAATGGAACATAACTTACAAAACGTATAAAATTGGTTGTTTGTTTCATGTACTGTCACTGATTTTCTGTCCCTTGAAAAAAATCGATTCTGTGTGTGGTTGTTTTATCGTTAGCTAATTACTTTTGCATTGATGATAAGATCCTGGAGGATTCGTTGTTTTTGTTTTATAAACAAATGCACGTGTTTTTTGTGTTATACTAAATACCTCTCATTTTCTTCTTATTTTGCGAGATGATTTTAAATAAAGGATCCTACTGCTCATCTTATTAGACAGAAAAAAATACTTTTGTTAGAAATTTATATGTGTTTGTTTTAGTGATTTCGTCAATAAAAAGGACGTTTAGTTACTTGTATATGAGTAAAAGTCACTCATGACTGAAGTTCTTCAAGATTAATGTGCAGAGCGACGTAAAGTGCGTAAGTTGAGTAAAATCACTCATGACTGAAGTTCTTCAAGATTAATGTGCAGAGTGACATAATATACGTAAGTTGAGTAAAAGTCACCCATGACTGAAGTTTTTCAAGAATAATGTGCACAGTGACTAAAGTACGTAAGTTGAGTAAAAGTCACTCATGATTGAAGTTCTTCAAGATTAATGTGCAAAGTGACATTATATACGTAAGTTGAGTAAAAATGCTCATGACTGAAGTTCTTCAAGATCAATCTGCACAGTGACGTAAAGTATGTAAGTTGAGTAAAAGTCACTCATGACTGAAGTTCTTCAAGATCAATCTGCACAGTGACGTAATGTACGTAAGTTGAGTAAAAGTCACCCATGACTGAAGTTTTTCAAGATTAATGTGCAGCAACTTACGTACTTTACGTCACTGTGCACATTAATCTTGAAGAACTTCAGTCATGAGTGACTTTTACTCAACTTACGTACTTTACGTCACTCTGCACATTAATCTTGAAAAACTTCAGTCATGAGTGACTTTACTCAACTTACGTACTTTACGTCACCCTGCACATTAATCTTGAAGAACTTCAGTCATGAGTGACTTTTACTCAACTTACGTACTTTACGTCACTTTTATATTTTTGATTTGATTAAGTCAAGATTTGAGTCTTAAAATCACTTCTTGTTTACTTCGATTGATCAATTTTGAAACCGTGGGCGAGCCATGATGTGAAATTAATTTTCCAGAGTCAGTAAAGGATTTGGTGGTGGCGTTTTTTATTTTTGTCATCATTAAGTATGTGAATGATCGCACGCTGCGTCCTCCTGAAAACGTTTACCGACAAAAATCTATAACACATAACAATATTTATAAAAACAAGTGAACTGCAGATGTTTTTTTTTCACATTAATCTTAATTATTTTTGGATAGAAATTAAAAAG